TATCATATTTGGAAATTATTATTATATGCATTAATTGCTTGCATATATACATTTTCTATCCATATATAATTTAAAAAATTCTTTCCATAAATAATTTTATTAACTTCTGCAATGATTTTACTGATATTCATTATAGTTAATATTTGTGGATAATATTTTTTAACCTTTATTTAATAATATGAAACTAATAATTTTTTAAAATTAATATTATTTTTCATTTAAGAGATAATGATCACATCATTAAATGATTATATTGATGGCTAGATAATAAAATTAAAATATATTAGTTTTTCTTTAAAATTTTGACATGTTATTTATATGTATATTATTGTCAACCATGATAATGTTTTTATCATTTTTTTTGTTTTGTTTTGATCTGTTTCTATAATGAATGTATAGTAAAAAAAAAAATTCTATTGCATAGTATGTTAAATAAACTATAAAGCCTTAGAATCAATATTAGAAAAAAATCTCTTGATTATGTAATGGATTTATTTGTTGGCAATTGCTAAATCAATTGTTTTAAAATTATTATGAGAAAATTAAATCCTAAAAAACTTGTGTGTATTTCACTATTTTGTAAACATTTATACACAAAATTTTATTTTATAAATAATAATAATGACGTTATACGACTATAAATTTTATAATAAAATAATAATTGAGTATTATATGGTGATAAAAAATAAATAAAATTTTTATTCTTTCTTATTAATGAATAAATATGTGTTCTAAAATTATATTTATATTAGTATAACGTGTTAGCGGAATAATATACTCCCTCCTATTTTTATTATTTGTCACTTTGGCTTAATGGATCATGATTAAATAAATGTCGTTTTGACTATTTTGTTCATATTTTCTATTTTTATCTTCCATCAATGCACAGTGTCTCTTCATATGCATCTCCATAGTTTCCCATAACATCCATTAAATAGTGTTAATATTGGCAAGAAAGAAAATTCTTAATTAGCGTGTTGCTTCTCAAAATGACAAATATTAAAAACAGGAGGGAGTATTAATTAACATGTTAATTTTCTGGCTAAAATAAACGTCACTTATGAAAAGATGTGAAATATGGTTGATCCAAATCTATTGTCTTTTTGCCTAAACGTACAAGTCCTATGAAAATGATTGACTTATTATATGTATCACGTGCATCGCACGGGCTATATACTAGTATAGATAAAGCGTCACGAAAAAAAGTTGAATAAATTAAATGCAAAAAAATAAATTTATAGTTATGTGGGTTGAGTGTAGTTTTTGCCGATATATTAATATGAACAAAAAATTGAATAAAAAATTTAAAACAGATAAGATAGGTGAATTTAGAAGGGAAGATGAGCAATACGCTTGAGCAATACGCTTGAGCTTCCGCTCACATGAACTCCCCCGGCTCCCTCTAATTCAAACTCTGCTACCTCCAATAACTAAAGCCCATTTTCAGAGCCTCACTCAACTCAACTTTATCCGGACAACAGTCTCGGACTCTGCTTCCTTTTACAGTCTTCTTTCTTCCTTTTTTTTCCTCCTTGCGCATGTAGTATATATTTTGTCTCCACCCTTTCTTGTTCCCTCAATTCGAAAAACAGATGATGCCTTCTTTATTTTGAACACCATCTTGAAAATCTTCGGAGCCCAGAAAAAAAAATTCCGTTCTTGAAATGGAGAAGTTCCATCTTTTACCTCTGCGTTTCTTGTTGGCAAGTATTCTTTTTTGGCCGTCAATCGTGCTTGCTGAGGCAGCCCTTCTTGAAAGTGACAAGCAAGCGCTGCTGGACTTTTCCGGCAAGCTCAACCGTTTTCGGCGGCCTCTGAACTGGGACGAGAAGTTCCCGGTCTGCAAGAACTGGACCGGAATTACCTGCGACGAGGACGGCAGGAGGGTAATTTCAGTCAGGCTGCCGGGGTTAGGGTTTCGCGGCCCGATTCCGGAGAACACGTTGAGCCGGTTATCGGCACTGCAGGTCCTGAGCTTGAGGTCCAATGGGATTAATGGCACTTTCCCTACAGACTTCGGTAATCTGAAAAACCTAACCTTTCTTTATCTTCAGCACAATAGTTTCAGGGGTCCTCTGCCTTTGGACTTCTCTGTTTGGAAAAACCTGACCGTAGTTAATTTGTCGTACAATGGGTTTAACGGCCCGATTCCTTCGTCGTTTTCGAGCTTGAGTCAGCTTGTTGCTTTGAATCTCGCTAACAATTCACTTTCTGGCGAGATACCCGATTTGGATTTGCCGAATTTGCAGTTGTTTAATTTATCGTATAATGATCTTGTTGGTAGTGTGCCTAAGTCACTTCAGAGGTTTCCAAAGTCTGTGTTTTTGGGCAATAACAAGTCTTTGTTGAATTACACCATTACTAATTCTCCTATTGTATTGGCTCCTCACGATCACAATCCTGGAAAAAACGTTCGAAAACTAAGTGAACAGGCTTTGCTTGGGATCATCATAACCGGTTTGGTTCTCGGGCTTCTTGGTTTCGGTTTTATGCTGCTCATCTTCTTTCTCAGAAGAAAATATATCAATAATTTCCCTGGGAAATTGGAAAAAGGAAATATGTCCCCGGAAAAAGCCATCTCGCGGAGCCAAGACGCGAGCAATAAGTTGACTTTCTTTGAGGGGTGTAATTATGCGTTCGATTTGGAGGATTTGCTGAGGGCCTCGGCCGAGGTTTTAGGTAAGGGTACGTTTGGGACAACTTATAGGGCGACACTGGAAGATGCAACGATGGTGGTCGTGAAAAGGCTAAAGGACGTGAATGCAGGAAAAAAAGAGTTCGAGCATCAAATGAATTTGATTGGTGGCATCAAGCACGAGAATGTGGTCGAGCTTAGAGCTTATTACTACTCCAAGGATGAGAAGCTTATGGTTTACGATTACTATGTAGAAGGCAGTTTAGCTTCAATGTTGCACGGTATGTTTCTTAAACGATCTCTAAGCATAGTTATGCACTGGCTCGTATGTTATGGTGTGTATATGCACAATATCTGGTGTTGCTTCTTACAATTATTGCACTTTATCTTTATTTTATTTTGTTTAGCCTTGATGAAAGCTGAAAGACAACAGAACCATATTTTTATTCACATAATGTAATAAACTCGTGTTCAATAGTTAAAACCATCTGCAGATGTAGCTAAATATTCCTCAAGGCTATAATTTGTTTAGGTACTGGTAGGGTCGGGCCGGGCCAGCAGTAATCTACGATATTCTTTCCAGCTTGGATAGTTGCATCAACAATATGAAAGTTTGTTGTACATCAATTAGAATGGTTAGTTCATAATCCAAGCATGTTCCTAGCATCAAAGTGGGGCAGATGAATACTATCTTTTTGACCTTATTATTGTAGAATTAGGCTATATGTCACTGTTTTCTGTCTTCTTTTACATTAATGATGATGTGCAAAAGATTGGGAATATTATCATTCCATATTAAGTGGTCCATTGGGTGCATGTGAGCCCGTCCTATTAAATTCAAAATGTGACTCATGACATCATTATGTACTGTTTGTTTGTGTTGTGTACTTACAGTTTTATTTTTCAGGAAAAAGAGGAGACAATCGGGCCCCACTCGACTGGGAGACCCGACTAAACATAGCGAAAGGTGCTGCACGGGGCATAGCTCGTGTCCACATGGAAAATGGGGGGAAGCTAGTCCACGGCAACATTAAATCATCGAACGTGTTCCTAAATTCCCGTAAATCTGGGTGCGTGTCTGACCTGGGCCTCTCGACTGTGATGAGCCCGTTATCCCCCCCTGTGGCCCGAGCTGCAGGCTACCGGGCCCCAGAGGTTACGGACACACGCAAGTCCCAGCAGGCATCTGACGTGTACGGATTTGGGGTGGTCCTGCTGGAGCTGCTGACGGGGAAGACCCCGGTCCACACGGTTAACGGTGACGAGATGGTGCACCTAGTCCGGTGGGTCCATTCGGTGGTCCGGGAGGAGTGGACGGCTGAGGTCTTTGATGTCGAGCTCCTGAGGTGCCCGGATGTTGAGGAGGAATTGGTGGAAGTTTTGCGGATTGCATTGGGGTGCGTGGTAAGGGCAGCGGGCCAGCGGCCGACGATGTCGGAGGTGGTTGGGATGATGGAGGGGGTTCGGGGGGTGGGATCCACGAATAGGGGCTCGTCCGAGGGGGAATCGTGAGATGCTGACGTGGGTTGAGTTCACCATCTTGGTGAACAGATTGATTTACTGGCACTTTTTGCTTCCTTTTCCATGTGTTGTATGGTGTGTGTTTTTGTGTCCGGCTCGTGTGTGTATCAGTTTA